TTATTTCTCTAAAACTAGTTGATCTTATTTAAGTAACTTTCCTTAAGATAGAAATGTAATTATACATCTAGACTGACATTAGATCAAGATATTACACGGTGTAATTTTAAAAAACATAAAAGCTATTAAATTTTCATCCCAAACATTATTTTTTCACACCTACTGTAACTTTAAAAATGTACATAGAAAGGAATAGGAAAATACTTAACTACCTACAAGAAATATTTTCACCCTATAAGACTGAATGCAAATAACCGATAGTAAAAAACCCTACAAATCTACTACAAAGCTTCAAAAAAATAAAAATTTTCGAGTTACTTAAAGGATTTGAATAGGAGTAATTCGTAAATTACCAATTTCATTCTTCTAGACTGTAGATCAAATTTGAACGAAATTTTTTGATGGATTAGTGGAACAGGTAATATATATAGACAATGTATACATATTTTTCTCAACTACTATAATTCTAATTTAAGGGGTTATTGTTGTAATCTGGTTTCAAAAAATTGATTTTTTTTTACATTTTCGCAAAGTATATGCTTTCGAAAATGTATGTGTAAAAGGATTTGTTCGAATTCGCAAAATCAGTGAAATTATAGATGTTCAAAGTACAGCATACAGCTATTGTACAACGGGTGACGAAAACTTCAAACGCGTTTTTCTCGAAACCACATTTTTTGAATTGGATGACGAAATATCTCACGTTTTAGTGGACCGATTAACTCGACATTTTGAGGAGATCTTCCCAGGATGTACCTTTATCGCTTGATCCATGGATTTCAAAATCTGATGTGTTTTTCTATTTTTATCTACCACCCAAAGGGCAAAAAGTACAAAAAAAATCGATGTTTAAATTTCAAAATGCTGTCGTTTTTTTAATTTTCGAAATTTCGCTGTTTTTGTGGTTCATGCTATAGCCGTATTTATACTAATTAGGATGGTTTTTGGCTTTTCGTTTCCGATAGCCAGATGGTCCGGAATCACGTCAGCCATTCGAGTCCATTTTTAAAGACATGAGTTATCTAAGGCTATATAATTTTCACAATTTTCATTAATATTATTGAAAAAAAAAAATCGTAAATATTCTCTAAATATAAATAAATCTGAGTGCGAAAACTTCCTGCCAATATGTATTATGGTTTGCTTAGGAAAAAATCCCCAAGTCGACTTTTATAGGCTGGACTACAACCATACCCACTTAACGTCTCTTGTCAGTATAATTTAAGATTCGCGTTATATCGAAACTCTATTTTATAATTACCGCAGCATACATTTAGGTTATGTACACGTCTAATTATTTTCATTCTAGCGTTAACTACAGTAGCTCTCGCTTTAGACGTCTGCATACGTTGCGTATGGTACAATACCATATCTGGATATTCTTCTGAGCAGATGATATTAGAGAATTAAACTGACCAGAAGAAAACAAGAAATGTGGGAATGATACTAATTTGATACGCAAGAATAACACGTATTTATGCACAAGTGACAAGCAGAAGTGGATCGAAACACGAATAATACTTATACAAATAATATGTACTTTCGGGCAGACCTGGCGAACTAGTGGCCTGCGGGCCGCACAATCTCTAATCCCCTCCTGTAACCTACTCCCACCATACCTACCATTTCTCCCACTACGCGTGTGCATTGAGTCAAGTAGGTATGGTGGGGATTATAAGATGTAGGCTGCATGTGTAGTAGTTAACATGTGTAGCAGCAAAAGGGACCGTAGTTTAATGGCGATAGTACTGCCGAGCATAAATAACAGAGTAAAAGATGTTTTCGTTAAAAGTATTGGGATATCAGAGTGTTAAATCGTGACATCATTAATCTTCGGAATACATGACGAGTAAATTTAAACCTGGAAAGGGAATCATTCCTCCTAAGGACGATGTTGCATTGGTTAGAGAAGTAGGTAGCGTTTAAAGGAGCAAAGATCCCCACTCCAAGCCTGAACCGTCACCTGATCAAAAATTCAGTGACGACACGATTTAGCACCCGATATCCCAACGCTGTTCGCTAGTTCTACTTTAGTACAGACCTGTTTTGGAAAGGAGCCTACTCTCGTTACTCTCTATCGCCATATACTATCACTGTCACTGTATGTACAGGGTGTTGATCATTGCGGATGATTCATCTGCAGTGAAAAATGTATAAATTTGCTTTCATCTGCATTTTATCTAAAATGAACACTGAAAGAGATAAGTAAAGGATGTAGAGCCTCCCTCTATTTTTGATAAAACAAATGGGTGATTCGTTCATATTGAAATGGTACATACATTATTTCGAGACTAGCGATGAAATTTTCACCTTCATTGTGATCATCTTAACATGATTCATCTAACATAATGTAAAACCAAAGTAAAAAAGTGTAAATTCGCCTTTAACTTATGCTTTAGGTCCTCTAAGTTTTCTCATTATACTTTTGGCTATAACTGACCTGATTTAAATTTCAAATAAAATAGTTTATCGAATAAATATGATATTAAATAAAAAATATTTTTATGAAATTTAATTAATAAAAACTGAATTCGTAAAAACACAAAACTACTAATCTACGAAAAACAGAAATTGTAGTCTAGTATCGACCAGATTTAGAAATTTATTTAATTATATAAACAATTTACTCTTTCTCTGCCCAATCTTTTTCTTTCTTAATTTTTTATTGAAATTTGACACATTTTTAAATTAGAGAAGTCAAGAGAAAAACTACAGAATACGTAAAGTACTAGAGGTCGGTATAGAGACTCCATGCTTCCCCTTCTCTTCACATTTTGCCAGCCTAAATTCCCCTCTACTTTCTCCGTTCTTGCGAGCTAGCACTTCTGCTGCCTGAGCCAAAGTGGGGAAAAGTAATGGGTATCCCTTACAGAATTAGTATCCTTACGTAAGATAGGTTCGTTGCGTACTATAATGCAAAGGAACACCCGTTATCTTTTCCCACTCCATCGGAAGTTGCTTGAATTAGGCAGGCTGGCAGCATTCTCGGTGAGAGGTTAGAGAAGGAAGAGATGAGCTAGAACGGCAAACTGTGGGGAGAGGGAGAAACGTAGAGTCTCCATCTGGCCATGCTTGTCGGTACTACGCTACTAATGGAACGGTGAGTATCGTGCAACAAATGCATGGAAAAATTTTATACCACGATGAATTAATGATACGCGAAATATTGCGAAAATATAAATGTACTCGTGCAACGCTTCGTATAATCGAAAAATAATGCATAAGAAGAGAGAAACGAAAACTAGGTTAGATCGGCATACTGCACGATTTTCAATACCTTTTTCTATTTACAGTGAGCCACAAAATTATTGGCACACGCCAAAACTAGCAAGAATATGAAGAGTAAAAGAAATAATCAAATATTTGTATATTTATTAATCCTTTTTTGTTTGTAAAACATATTTAAACTATAAACTCCCAATGTTATGAAAAAATGAATAATATCGCAATTTATAGTTATAAACAGTGAAACAAAACGATTCCATGCATTAATTGTCGTCACAAAATTATTGGCACACGTAATACATTCTACGAAAAACAATTAAATCAGCCTATTCTGATATTCGTTTCTTTTCTTCACTGTTATTCAGGCACAGTAACAAGTATTATAATAGTCAGTTAACACCCAAGTGAGGAATTAAAATCTAATAAAAGAAATATTCGAATGCACGTTCTACAATGACGAGAAAAGGCAAAGAAACTAACATAGATACAAGAAATTTAGTAATTCATCACTGGAAAACTGGAAAATCATATAGAAAAATTGGAAATATCGTAAACAAAAGTTTTTCAACCGTCTGAAATATTATTAAAAGGTTTGAAAATAAGGGTAGAATTAAAAACGCACCTGGACGTGGGAGGAAAAAGTTTTAAATTCATCAGAAGAACGTTTTATTGTTCGAAATGTGAAACAAAATCCAAGAATAAGTGCTCCACGAATTAATGTCGAGCTGCAGCATTTTTGTAAGAAAACTGTTTCTAACGAAACAGTCCATAGAATATTGCGGAAAATTTCATACAATGGACGCACACCTGGATGCAAAGCATACGTTACTGCAGTAAATCGAAATTTATTTTTATTTTGTTTGAATCTTACAAAACAATTTATTTCAAAATCTAGAGAATTTTGGAGAGATGTTATATTTTGTGACAAGAGTAAATTCAATATTTGGGGGTCTGATGGTGATATGAAAGTATGGCGAAAACCGAACGAAGAAATGGATCCTAAAAATATTCGCTCAACAGTCAAATATGGTGGTCATGTTATGGTTTGGGGATGTATCAATTATTGCGGGGTAGGAAATTAAAAATTGATAACAGAAACAATGAATACAATGGAATACTTAATTATACTAAAGGATGATTCAAAGCAAGCTGACTAAAAATTGGGAATTTTTGAAAAATTTCAATTATATTAAGATAATGACCCGAAACACAAATCGAAAATTATTCAAGAGTGGTTGCTATACCACTGTCCAAAGATCATAAATACGCTATCTCAGTCATCTAAATCTCATTGAGATGGTATGGGACAGATTAGATAAAAAAATATGAAAGCATTCAATAACTAATAAGACAGAATTGCAAAGTAGATTACAATAGAAATAGCATAATATAAAGGAAGAATATTTTAAAAAACTTATAGACTCAATGCCAAAGTGACTTTCCTAAGTGATAAAACAAAAAGGGTACCCTACAAAATATTAGCATTGTTAAAATTATTAATTTTTGTAACGTGAACCAATAATTTTGTGACAGCAATTGATGCATAGAATCGTTTCATTTAATTTTTTTTATAACCACAAGAAATGACATTGTTATTTTTTTCATAGTATTGTGCGTTTATGTTCTAAACTTTATTTATTTCAAATAAAAGAAAAATTTCTTGAAAAATCTTGTATTATTTCTCTTATCCTTCACATTCCTATCATTGTATGTGTGTGCCAGTAATTTTGTGACTCACTTTTATCAATAAATGAAGATGATCGATCGTTTTTCAGATGGCAAAGCCATGTATTGGCATTACATATACGTCGGTCTTCGAGATTCGATACTGGGCATGCTGGCAGGAACTTTCCTCGGTATTTGTTTCGTATTCTTCCCTCATCGTAGTCACGTGAGTATTCTCTTTCCCACACTCTTTCAGTTTCTTCCATTGCTGTTCGATAAATTAGAAATACATAAGCTGGTATCGCATAACCTGCTTGGTCCTCGGCTCTTTAACATGTACCACAGCGACCGCAAAATTGACAGTCTCCGGTGCAGGATACTTAGCCACCTTGGTTATGTCGTTCGTCAGCATAATCGGCTGGAGGATTTTGTCGGCTTCCTTCGATGTAAGTATCACCATGTATCGTTCGACGAGATATCCGATGTTCTTCGTTTGGTACACGGTTAGCCGCGTTAATAGTTGAAAGCAGTACTGGTTCTGTAGTGTAAGATACGGTACGGTAATGCCTGTGTTTACGATCACGAATCTGCCGCGTATATGACCACGACTCATCCCCACCACTTCCTAGAGCTGCTTGCTCACGGCGATGCTTGATCTTTATCTATGGCCCCTTTCTTCTAATGTTTCACACTTGCTCGAGCAAGCGTGAAATTTATCGTCGATTCCTGGAAATACGCCTCCCGGATATATGACCTCGCCGGGTTTCCGTGGGTGGCCATATATGCGGGTATTACCGTATTACCCTTAGGTCTAGTAGAAGATATAGGACTACACTTAAGTATAATAGTAAATATCATAGTAAATATAGGAGAATCATATATATTGGGTTAACCTAAAAATAATGTCGTTAGTTTTAATAAAAATAGCAGTGATCGTTTTTCTTTATTTTTTAATAAAAGAGGAGTTATCGAATGATGCATTTATCACGCTGATTTGTAATTTTTAGCCATTTTTATCACGTGATTATATCATATTTAGTGGGTTAAGAACACTGCTTTGTAGGTACTGAAAAAGAATGTCACATACAAATTATAAAAATCAGTTACAACTTATTAATATAAATAAAGGCAATTGAAATAGGGAAAATAGCTATGTAATTACATTTCTTGCTAAAAGTGTAAAGGAAAGAAATGATTTGCGAATTTTTGTATGTACTCTTTATTTTTCGAGATAAGAAGTCTATTTTTAATTGAAGGGTTCTTGTAAAAAGCAGCATACGTGCCAAAATTGAAAACACTTTTTCCGTAGAAAAATGTTAATTGTGTTAGTATGAATACAATGTTGTGAAATTGTGTTACCTTATTCCCTTAATGGTAATAATAAAAATAGTGCATTCATATTCCCTTAATAATAAACAATCGGACAAAATGATGGTATTAATTTGTATATTGTACAATATTTACAAGATTTTCTGTAAAATGGAATAATTAAATTTTATAAAATTATTACTGAATTACACAATTGTCCTTAGTCACATATTTAAATAAAAATACATATAAATATAGCAATATTTAAAAGTTATATTCTGCTTATCCTCTTCCCCAAAAATGTACTTTTTGAACTCTTCAATAAAAAATAGACTTTATACAGAAAATTCCAAAACATTGTTTATTGATAATAAGAGATTACCTGTTTATCTAATTTTTAATTTTAATCTATGTATCTCTGATGATAAAGAATATAACAAAATTCGCAAATCATTTCCTTCCTTCTTAATTTTTCTTAGCAAATATATATATATTTGCTATACATATACATATATATAATTATCTTCTGATGTTAAATATCGTGTTTATGTTACGAAAGTATAAACCACTTATTGCAACTTAACAATACATAAATAATTCGCGAACAATATATATACAATTTCCTGGTTAATTAAATAAATTTACCTGTATAGTAAATTTTAAACAAAAATCTATCGAACAAATATTTAGATGCTTTATGAATAAGAAATATTTTGGTTATAAAATGTCTACACAAACGGCAAAATTTCGATACTGTGTTCCGTATCTCTTTTGCTGGACACATTCATAGTCTGTGACGTAAATTTACGTCATTTATAATTCTCGCGATTTCTCATAAACTTGTTATTTCAGAATAAATTTTATCTTTTTTATCTTCCTTTTAATGATCGAAATCCACGGTAACTGTAACATCTCTTTATAAATAACTGGTTATAAATATCGCTATTAAATGTTAGAAAAGTATTAATAGTATCGTCATTGAAACATTTCGATATGTTAAAACTGGTTTTATCAAATATCCTGAACTCATCGATTCTCATTTCTCTTTCGCTTTTGTTTTTAATTCTGATGTTGAATATATTGGTTTTTCTCTCTCCTTTAAACCCTTTAATTTAACTCGTTCTATATATTTTCTATATATTTTCTGTGGTATTCAAATTCAGTGAGTAAGTAGATGAAAATAAAGCCTTAAGGATAATTGTTTAATAAATATTCCTTGCTTTAAATATTCGAATATTTATAATGAAATAATTATACAAAAATAAAAATATTTATATTAAAAATAATGATTAGAAGCATTAAAGTATTCTAATATTCTGGTGCCAAACATAATATTTTAATATTACTATTGCTAACAAATATTCAAGCTCTGTGTTTTCAATAATTATTCTAATAAAAATAGTGTTTAAAATCAAGTGTTTTGCACTTTCATCTCACTTGCAATTTCAGTAGGTTTCCTTTCAAAAGAAAAATTTTCAGAATTTCAAATTTTTTTCTCTGTCTGAAACATTATCGATGAATACTAATTCGTCAACGCAGATACTTGGGATAGAGTCCACATAATTATAAAGCTTACCTCATGTTTCAAGCAAGGTTTCTGATTTTTTAATTTTAAAAATTATTTCATCTTAACCGCACTATACTCTTCATGACTGGTCTAAAAATACAATATTTGTAATAAATGCATAACACTTTCAGTGCTAAAAGAAATTAAGCAAATTTTATTTTTAAAGAGATAACGAAATTTTTTCAAATTTAATATCAGTTAATTGCTATGTTATAATTGCTATAATTATAGTCTTTAAATGGTATTTATAACTTAAATAACAAAAGAGTACTACGAGATAACTGGCAGTGTATTCGTAATACATATTCTTATTTCGAGATACATATATCATAGTTGACACTGAATGTGTTAATAAAATATTGTTGCTAAGAAGAAATTATTTGTACACTCGTATAATGTTTACATTTGCTACTTTCAACAAACGCAATATGCACGACAAATTGAAATATTTAAAACTAGTAGTGTGAGTGGTGGATGAAATTTAATAACAATAAGAACAATTATTTATTTAATTACAAAGATTATCAAACACAAATATTACGTTGAAATATAATTAATTTATCACGATTACTCTTTCACACGTCTTTTCACTATTAAAATTCAATTGCAACTGACATATTTCAAATCACTCTCTTTTGTCTTTCTTCTTTTATACATTACATTACATACACAATTCACACAACACTTCAATCATTACACGCATACTCATTTATCATAATAACCTGAATTCATTACATATTTCCATCCCATGCATACTTGTTCCACTCATTCCCATACATATATATTTAAAAATCCTATGTAACCGTTATCACAAGTAGTAATTCCACTAAAATTATGCTCCATCGATAAATCTCTACAAATCTATTCGATAATATTACCTGAAACTACCAATAATTGAGAAATAAAAAATTTCAATGTATCGTTGATCCATCTTTTGTTGGTATGGCAGCCTCATGGCAATTCTCCATTGACTACACTAGCGCCCTCGCAGTACGCATTCGTATTAAATGTACGTCTAAATATTATACACAATAGTATTCAATGCATCGTCGAATTACTTTCTAATTTTACTAATACCATACTGAGGAGCTTTTATTATATACAATATCATATTTAACACTTTTGTTTCTTTGTATCAACACTTTTATACGTAAATACAAATGTAATCTAAAATTAGAATATTTTCGATTATGTGATAGAAAAAATGTGTAGGAATTTAGTGAAATTCCTGGTATTCGCTCTCTAAGACTAGATAGTTAATCATTTAGTATTCCTGGGTGAATAAATGTATATAGCTTATTAGGAAATTCAAGATTTCACTCTGTGAAATTTCAAAACATGCTGACGATGGAATGAATACGTTTAACCCTCCGTCGGTAACAGGAGGCGTTAAGGACCCCGGAGAAAATCGGATACACTATCGGTAACAGGGACCATTAAATGATCCCAAACTGAAATATTGCTATAAATAACAGAGATCACGCAAAACTTCAAACCAACTTGTTTACTATGTTCTCGACAAATTATGTAGGGCCTAAATCCGAAACGTATAACGTTTGTACACTTCGTGTTACCGACGGAGGGATAAAGCAGGGACCATAACTGTTATAACCAAAATACGAGAAAATTGAAGCATAACCGTCATATTTTTTATTTAAAATGATTTTCATTAGTAACTAACGATTGTAAGCGATTACAATTTTGTCTGGCTATCAATAATTATTTCAAACGACGAAAATTATTTTTAGAATCTCGTATTACCTGACAATAATCATTATCTATGACCAAAATTTTATTTAGAACCCTAACGTCTTCTTTTCAACACAATATGATTTTCTTTCTACTGAAATGTATGATTTTAAAATTATTCAAGCATCATAGAAAATTATAGTACAGTCAAGTCTATAATGCGATCAATTTGTACCACGTTATATGAAAACCGTGTTATAAGAAAATCAGAATTAATTGAAATCAAGAATTGTGTACTATGGAAACCGCGTTATGAGAAACATGGTAATAAGACAAATCAGATTAATTCATACCGCGTTATATGAAAATTACTGCCACGTTATATAAGAACCGCGCTATAAGAAACTCAGAAATAATACAAATTGAATGAATTCGTACCGCGTTATATGGAATCTTAGAAAGAAATAAATTGTACATAAATCAGACCTATATAAAAATTACATTCTCAAAGTATCAAGCTGCGATTGATACGGTTAATAAATAAAATTTTATAATAGAAATGGCAATGAATATGTAGATTTTTACATATTCGAATTTAGGTTTATCGAATATAATACATAGTTCGTATGATAAAATTATAAACTAAAAATATTGTTTGCAACAAAGAAACTTAATTCGATACATATTAGTGACGCATCCTAGTTTAAAATAGGATTCTAACGTGTTAAAATTAAACGGTTTATTACTTTGTTTTATATAATTATCTTTTGGGTGCCTATCAAAGCCCTTATTAAAATCTTTTCTATCATAAGTTCTCTTATCTATCAATGTTATTCCATATTTCTTCTGATTTATATTTCTTTCTGAAACAAATATTTTATTTTCAAATATTTATATGAAATAGCTTCAGTTTGATCAGAATTCAGATATTCTTATTATGCAGTTCATACATTAAGGATACCACAATTAGATTGTTCTATTATTCATCATCATTATTTTAGTTCTTAAAACCTTTTTATTTATATGAGCCCCACTTTGTCATTAATGACTTCTATGTTAATTTTAATTTCATTAATTTATAACATTTTTGTCGTGGAGATTCAGCACCTTTTAATTTGTTATTTTCGTAACAGAAACATATTTGTATTTGCTTTTTTATTATTAATAAATATGGGAAACATCGTTTGACATTTTACATCGACACTTTAGCACGTGGTTATTTCAAATATGAAGTATCTTCCCGCGACAACGACGCATAGTTGGTCTAACCGCAGCCAACTTCAAGTCGATGTCAAATCAAACATACCGGTGACACATGGTGGAATATTTTCGCGCATCAAAGTGGAACTTTCAAAGTCTGCACAAAACGTTCTGTTAAGTAGTGTTATTATTGATTGATGTTTTAATTGCTGCAACCGACCAAATATATAATGAAAAAGAATAATGCGCAGTATTAGGTATTTCATCGTAATATTGTAAATATAGGTTACTTTTGCAACATTATCGTAATATTTACGAATGGAACATAGCGTAAGTTTAAGAAATTGATGGAATTTTATCAAAATCCAACTTAGAGAACTAAACGATAAGGTACGATACATTTTATTTTAACCATTCTATATAATTTCAGCACTTTGGTTACTAATGACTACCATAGCCACTCTAAGAAAACTAACATGGCAGACGAGTTAATCACATTTTGGCAAAGAAATAATTATTTTCCTCGAAACTCTAATTTTGACACTTTCAACTTTTCGCAGATCACGAAATTTTGTATATCACGAAATTTTAGACAACTTAGGGAATTAAACAATGATCTACAAAATTTCGTGGTCTACGAAATTTTAGACAACTTAGGGAATTAATCAATGATCTACAAAATTTCGTGGTCTACGAAATTTTAGACAACTTAGGGAACTAAAAGATACAGTACGATACATTTTATTTTAACCATTCTATATAATTTCAGCACTCTGGTCACTAATGACTACCATAGCCACTCTAAGAAAATTAACATGTCAGACGAGTTAATTACATTTTTGCAAAGAAATAATTATTTTCCTCGAAACTCTAATTTTGACACTTTCAATATTTTTATTTTCAAATAAACTCTTCGTCTTTTCCTTGGTATCAGGAAGATACGAAACATTTTTTAATAGACCTTCACCGATCTAAATATGTAGAACTACATTCTCATATAGTGAACGCTACTTTATGAGATTATTCCCATGTTCTCATAAGATAAGCAGTAGGATATTTAAATCATATCATCAGATATGAAAAATACAGAGGTAGTACTGTGACCGAATATTAATGCGTGTTACTGTAATACGTATATATGTAAACGATTGTATGTGCTTTTAGACGACGACCTTTCGCCAAGCTGCGTTTCTGCTTTGGCAGATAGTACAACCAATTTTGGTCGGAGTAATCGGTGCAGACATTGAACTCACGCATTGGTCCTTATCCAGATTCGGACTTCACTTGTCGTGCATTTTGATGGGACTGCTGGTAAATTTGCCAAATTTTTATTCCATTCGATAAATTGTGATTTATGTAATACATAAATTTTGATTTGATTCGATAAATTATGATTTATATAATACATAAATTACCATTTTGTTTGATAAATTATTATTGCATTTTATTCGTTCGAACATCGATTAATTATGTATTGAGTGAGTACGTAGTATACTTGGAGTACCTGTTTACTTAAGATGGATACAAAAATTACAGTAGTAATAATAAATGTAAAGAAATAAAACTGCATAGTATCAAACTAATAAACTTTTACATTTCAAACTTTTGGTGACAATGAAAGACAAAAAGTATCTAAAATTTTGGTTTAACTAAAAAATGACATAAAATATCGATTTGACTAAGGTGCAGGTAATTTGTAATAGTGGTCAACTCATTTTATAAAATGAGGGAAGAACAAATAGATAATAAAATTATTTTATTCTTATGATATAATTAATTTATTTTTATTTTTATTCCCATTTTTATTTTATTATTATATTGCCTTTATATAATGGATCCTATTACCTATGTATAATGGGTTCTTGGTGCGTTTATGAAGTAAATTAAATTAAAATAATTAGAAATAAATATCATATTATAGAATAATAATCTTTGGTAAATATTAAATAAAAGAATTATTACGATTCGAATTATTCCAAATTATGTTCCCCTTCGGGATTCTAAGTTGGCAATATGACGTGTCAAAACTTTCAATCTCATATAACATTTTCTAAAAGAACGAATAAATAATAAGATTATTTTATTTTTATGATATAATTTATTTATTTTTATTTTTATTTCCATTTTTATTTTATTATATTACCTTTATATAATGGGTCCTATTACCTACGTATACTGGGTCCTTGGTCCCTTTATGAAGTCAATTAAATTAAAATAATTAGAAACGAAAATCATAGTATAGAATGATAATCTTTGGTAAATATTAAATAAAAGAATTATTACGATTCGAATTATTCCAAATTATATTCCCCTTCCGTATTCCAAGTTAAAAATGATCGTTTAATTTAAATGGAACCAGAGACCAAAAGTAATAGTTATTAATCAAAATTTAATCGAGACAAATTATTTATGAAATATCGATTTTTATTCGTACGCCATACTATTATTATAAAAATTAAAAATAAATTCTTAAAAATAAATGATCAAAAGGTTCCAATTTTTATTTTAATTTTGATTACGAAAAACGATTAAAAATAATTAGAATTTGTTTTCTTGGTTACGAGTAACTATTGTTGTTAATAACAAACATTGCTTTTAATTACGAATAATAATTATAGACGGTGGAAATTGTGTTTGATTAAAAATAACCATTATTATGACCAACAAGATTTCCTTTTGAATAAAATTTGTCCATTCGAAGCTTCGTTATCGAGAAAATCGACTTTGACTTTCTACCTCAGTTAAAGTTAAGTGCTCGTGTGCTCGGTGAATATTTAAAGTCGATTTTCTCGATAACGAAGCTTCGAATGAAAAAATTTTATTCTTTATTTTCGATTTGTTCTTCCATATAAAATCAGTCTCTTCTCGGTTGTACCACCGATACTGATGCATTGATGGTTTATTCATCTAAGTCATCGCAAAGTGCTCGCATACTCAGTAAATATTCAAAGTCAATTTCCTCGATAACGAAGCTTCGGATGAAAAAGTTTTATTCTTTATTTTCGATTTGTTCTTCCATATAGAATCTATAGAATCCATATTTGTTCTTCCCGGTTGTACTAGAGTTACTGGGACACCCTATATATTGGCATTTTGACTAATTTTATTATTTAACACGTTGACTGCCGCGGACTTTTTACAGGGTACGCTCAGGGGACCACAATAAAATTTCCATTATTCCTAATATGTAATGGTGAATTATCAAACAGAATGATGGTAACAAAAGATTTCGCAAATTGTTAAATGATTTTTACTTAATTTTTATTTCTCAATGTTCTTTATTTATTCGCGTTATTCAAATTTAAAAAAATCGTTGAAATTAAACAAATTATCATGAGTTTGAAGAATTAGTACCATCGATGATCGGTGACTATGGCAATCAAGGTGTCGATGTTAATCTCAACAGGTGCATTTTTCTGTTCCATATAGGGACGAAGCGTGGCCGCTTATTTGACGATGATGCGAACCCCATTCACGTGGAAAGAACGACTGTTCGTGGTGGTATGTTGGTTACCAAAAGGCACCATACAGGTATTCAATCGTTGTATAATTGGTTCCAACGGTATAGCGAAGTCGTGAAATCGGTTGTGAAATACAAACATTTTGAAAGACCGTTGAAAAAGCAATTTAAATATTTTGAAAATAATTTCAAGTACCAATCCATGCTGTACAATCCAAATACTGATAATGGTTTATAAAAAGTTGAAACTATTTCAATATGTTGGAAATATTGCACGGAATTTAATAGTAGCAACAGTATTTAATATAATAATAGTATTAGAATAGTATTAATATAATAATATTAAATGTAAATAGCAAATAGTATTAATATAAAAATATCAATATAATATGTAATAGTATTTATAACAATAGTATAATATAATAGTATAATATAATAGTATTTAATTGTAAGTTAAAAGTGAAATTTAATCAACCATATTTTTCATTTTAACCATTTGTGGATAGATGTTTACCATTTGTAGTCCAAGTTGCATTTAACATTCTGCTTGTAATTATAGACTTACTCTGGAACGTTGGTCGAAATTTGATTTTATTTCCATAATTTTTTTACCAATGAAACTGTTATTTTAGTGATTACAAATGCTTATAGAAATTGCGTTGTGATTAATATGAATAGAGAATTTATTACGAAGGGAAATACAATCAGTAAACCTCGTTTCAAGGACATTATAAACAAGAACAAGAAATTAATAAATCAAGAGAATGCAAAATAAATGGCACACAGACTACTGTATCATAAATAGCGATTATTTCATTATCAACAGAAACGCATCTACGTCGACACGTTTCTATCAAAATTAAATTGCAATACCAAAAATGTATGTTTTATACATCAAAATTAAAATAAAAATAAAGTGAAACAGAGTGTCGAGTCCAAATCAACATAAAAGCACCAAAGATTAACCCTAAAACTAAATTTGTAACATGTACCTAACTATGTGTACCTAACTATGGAACGTCTTGTGATGAAAATCAATAATTCTTTAATTACGTCTCTATCCGATAAAAATTGACATTCATTTTGTCAAAGGTAAAAATTAAGCATAAAAAGTCTGAAACCAATCAATCATTTTAATCTAGTAACAAATATCTAAAATCATAAACCATATATTCCATGTATCAGCGATATCTAGGGTTAGGTTAGGTTTGGTATAAAAAGTCTGAAACCAATCATTTTGATTTAGTGTCATTTATCTAGAATAATAAATTATATATCACGTATATCAGTGACATCTAGGGTTAGGTTAGGTTTGGTATAAAAAGTCTGAAACCAATCTTTTTGCTTTAGTGTCATTTATCTAGAATCATAAACTATATATCCCGTATATCAGTGACATCTATGGTTAAGTTAGATTAGGTTAGGTTAAATTTGATATCAATCGAGGCTGTTTCTGCATACAACCAAGCACGACTACGCTATATCATTCGAACCAGCTACAGTGATACCCGCGTATATGGCCACAGCTTATTCCCACCACCCACTTGATCTTCATCTACGACCCCTATCTATCAATGTCTCGCGCTTACGAACTCGCACAATTTATCTTCGATTGCTGGAAATACGTTCACCGCATATATGACCACTCTGGACATATACGCGGGTATCGCTGCATATCCCCGTATCTCGACGATAAAGAAGAGATTCATCCACTGAAATTTAAAGGCAGCTTTGGGACCGATGGCATACGAACATTTGCGGAGCAATGAGAACAAGTTGGAGGATATTAACGTGGCTTTGGACATCGTGAGAATATCGGTAATTACTATTTTATTCCTAGCACCGATTGGGTCCAGTTTGATCACCTTCACCGGCCCTGTTCTCCTCGAGCAAACTACCGTCGAGCAACGACAAAGAGCTCGCGAGTTGAGCTATTTGCGAACCCTCTCCCTTCTACCAACGCTGGACCCAAACATCGACGGAGATCGTGATGCCGAGTAGTTCTCGTCTCTCGTAGGGTAGAACCGAGAATCTACCGTGCTGTCGACATAAGTACCGAAAGTCTACAACCACGATCGACTAACCGAGTGGTGTTGATACCATCTCCGCGGCTAATACCACTTGCCACGACAACAAGCTTGCCAAGCTCGTGAAAAGCTTGCCACGTACCAGGTTTTCCATAGGGACCGCAGAATGCTCCCTTAAGTCTCTTGCGTCGAAGTGTACTACGTCTGAGCCTTCTTATTAGATCAAATGTACCTTTCTACTCGTTGCAACTGAATTTGATCCGCTTTATTATTTGGAGATAAATTTTATTTTCAATAATTTGGTAAAGTAAGAAGGATTTATTAATTATTCTTACTGAGTATAGATTAAGAATTACATTGCAAGTAACCTAACCTTATTTCGATATATTATATACATAGTGGACCACTTAACATGGCCACTTCGATCGTTATCGTTTCTCGTAAGTTGATTTTCTCTGAGTTTAATAACATAGTTTTATAAAAATTAAGTAGTATTATCTTTTGCAGTCTGTCATTTATGACAAAATAAGTTTTTATTGTTTCTCTAATAACTAAGTAATTAAAGATAATCGAGGTGGTCATGTTGTACGATCTACCCTATACATATATATATAGGATGTTCACGAAATTGGCACGGAGGTAATTCCTCGTGTAAAACTGAGTCGAAAATGTAGTATATAATTTTTTCGTACGGGTCTTCGTTTTCGAGAAAATCGAGTTTGAAGATTCGTTGGGTGAGCATGCGCTTAGCGCGCTACTGTTTGTGCTCGTAAACGATATCGGTCAGGAAGCGATGTAATTTTAACGGATAGTAAGCCATAAATTTCGATACCTGATTTATTTTAGTAATTTCCAGATGTTAGAAATTACTAAATTTTCGAATTCTTCCTCAACGAATTAACGAAACGCGAACTGAATATATTGCTCTTGCATCTTTGAACTCGATTTTCTCGAAAATGGAGCTCTATATGAAAAAGATTTATTCTACATTTTCGACTCAGTTTTACGCGAGGAAATAGTTCCTTGTTGGCTGTACCACGATTTTACGAACACTCTGTATAATCTTCAGAATCACTAATTTTCTTCAGCCTCTACGCATTCTTTGGTCCCTCCTCTGGTTTTATCTCCTTATATGCTTTTCAAACTAGAGTTGGGACTGTTGATACGAATCTCGATAAACATCGATGATATCAGAATGTCATCAATGATTCGATATATCAATTATATCGATAAAATATCGTTAAGTCTATTCAAAGAAAAAATTGAGATTATCGTTAAAATATAAATATAGAAATAGAATAATATAATTATAATATAAACCTATTTATTTATTACGCAAAGTTTCGTTCATAAAATATGAGATAATTCGAAAAATGTATATACATAATTTTCAAATATAAATATGAGCGATAAATTTATTACACGTTTCATATTAATTCATTTAAGATTAATATTGTAGACAATGAACGATTTATCGATAACAATTTATAAACAATAATATAAAAATGTGCTAACAACAATAAAGTTACGAATTATTCAGAGACAAGAATCTACAACGACTCTCGATTTAGTTCGATAATTCTACCCTTTTCTCGCAACGTTCAACGCTATACTAGAACACTTAACTCCGTTCTTTCCTCAACTCCAACTCCGTTCGACCCTCACTCTCAATCTCAATATGCCGACTTTCAATCTCCAACTGTTCGACTCACAACTTCAAACTGTTCTCCGATCATCCTCGGCGTACTTCTTATTTCTTCCCCACCGTGTACACGCTTCCCGATATTTCCCTTGACTCTGGGGGGCATTTACAGCCGCGTGAAACTCCTACCGTGAGAGTTGCAGTGTTCGAGACGCAACACTATACTTTCTATCGATTTATATTTAGGATAAAATATCACGTTATACTATGTCGCATGGTATTCGTTAAAACAGGCTAAACACATTTGAGGTGATTTTGGACAATTGGAACAATAGGTCGCAGTTTTCATTTACATTTTTCGCAATTGTCTGTCAATTTGTTTTTGACTGGTAAAAAGTCAAAGTTTCCAAGTTTGCTACCCTGTTCTATCGGTTCATTATTTACAAAATGCAAGTTTGCTAATAGTAATTCAAAACGATTACGGAACATCCTGCTGCGCGAAAATGGAAAATTGTAAGTAGGGTCCGTTGGCCAATATCTGACGAGTGGTGTCTGTATTAGACCCATCCAAACGTTCTGGCGCACAGACAGTAGGATTTGGGCCCCGCAAGAAACTCAATCGAATCGCGCTGGGCGACGAACTTGTTAACTCTTTGGGGCACGCTGGGATTAAAAGTATCCCATCTTTTCGATGCACCGTAATGCATGGTGGGACATTTTTAGTTTTGTAAAATTCAAACAAGATGAAAATAAATTTCGATTTACTGTAGTAACGTATGCTTTGTATCCAGGTGTGCGTCCATTGTATGAAATTTTCCGCAATATTCTATGGACTGTTTCGTTAGAAACAGTTTTCTTACAAAAATGCTGCAGCTTGACATTAATTCGTGGAGCACTTATTCTTGGATTTTGTTTCACATTTCGAACAATAAAACGTTCTTCTGATGAATTTAAAACTTTTTCCTCCCACGTCCAGGTGCGTTTTTAATTCTACCCTTATTTTCAAACCTTTTAATAATATTTCAGACGGTTGAAAAACTTTTGTTTACGATATTTCCAATTTTTCTATATGATTTTCCAGTTTTCCAGTGATGAATTACTAAATTTCTTGTATCTATGTTAGTTTCTTTACCTTTTCTCGCCATTGTAGAACGTGCATTCGAATATTTCTTTTATTAGATTTTAATTCCTCACTTGGGTGTTAACTGACTATTATAATACTTGTTACTGTGCCTGAATAACAGTGAAGAAAAGAAACGAATATCAGAATAGGCTGATTTAATTGTTTTTCGTAGAATGTATTACGTGTGCCAATAATTTTATGACGACAATTGATGCATGGAATCGTTTCGTTTCACTGTTTATAACTATAAATTGCGATATTATTCATTTTTTCATAACTTCGGGAGTTTATGGTTTAAATATTATGTTTTATAAACAAAAAAGGATTAACAAATATTTGATTATTTCTTTTACCCTTCATATTCTTACCAGTTTCTGCGTCTGCCAATAATTCTGTGGCTCACCGTATGTATAAATTTAATACGACCGCAAAAGTTTAATATTCCTTGTAGCAGACGTATAGCAGTTCTGGGGCATGTGCCATGGGAATAATGTTATTGATCCTGACAAATGATTTCAGATTTATACCCAATTTGTGATAGCCGATTCGCAATTTGTCTCCATGAAAATTACGTCACTGTGCCGATTCGTCCCTTGTGAGAATACGATTCCCCTGACCTATGTTTTGCCCCCGCAAAGACCTAGCAACCCAGCTAGCTCGTTTCTAAAAATAGCCTTCCATAACGATATTCGTCGATCTTCCATTTTTTCCTAAAATAAGATCCTTCATCGGCATTGGCCAGTTTCGATTTGTTTTTCTAAAAATGGCATCCCAAATATCTTTGGCAGTCTCTCTTCCTTCTCATTTACGATACTTATTGTTAGATGCTTCCCTGTTCTCTTCCTTACTTGCACCTCGATTTTCGATCCCCCCTATTTCCATCTTCCAGATGTAATCTGGAGTATTACTATTTATTCCCATAGCCATTTTGCATAGTATCCCCTCCCCCCCCCCCCATTCCGTCTATCACAGTTCTGCCTCTCCATCCCAAAGCTTGATGGCATAGGTTAAAATAGATTGGCAGAGAGTATCATACATGTAAAATCTTCTCCTGCTCGTCTCGTTCCCCACTCCACATTCGTCGCAACTCTTGTCTTCGTTGCCAGTATATTCATATTCTCGGAATATTCATGCTCTTTGTTGCGTACCAAGATGCCAGATACTTGTAGCTATTCCCTACATCTGTCTCTATCTTGTAGGACTCCTATCTCTGATTTTTATTTCTGCTCTTTCTTAAGAACTTAACATTCTTCTTAGGCCCTCCGTGTCCTTTGCAACCAGCACTATGTCCTCCGCAAACTTCAAAGATGAATATCCTGGTCCTGCCTAGCCTATACCTCCTATGTTCCTCTTCTTCGTCCCTTTTTCGAGGTCTTCTATGTAAATATCGAACGCATATAGAACATTTAGTATAACTCATACACATAACATTCGAAATTATAACTATCAGTGTAATAAAGTATGCACAAACACGAAAGTGTCACTTATTGCATACCCAAGGTGCTCAATATCTCAATTAGTCGACTATGGTCCATCACACAACTCTCGACTGCCTTCGTACAACACTTTACTTATTGACGAATTGATTATTAATAACGCATACACATAACATTCGAAATTGTAACAACTATCAGTGTAATAAAGTATGCACAAACACGAAAGATATATAGAACATTTAGTATAACTCATACACATAACATTCGAAATTGTAACAACTATCAGTGTAATAAAGTATGCACAAACACGAAAGTGTCCCTTATTGCACACCCAAGGTGCTCAGTATCTCAATTAGTTGATTATACCACTACGACAAACCTCGAATGCCTTCGTACAACACTTTACTTATTGACGAATTGATTATTAATCAATTTTTAGTTACGAATATCTAAAAACTGTTAAGTGTCTGCCCATGTAATCAAGGTCGGCGCGAGGCAGGTTCAGCACGTTCACCGGAACCCAGCCCCGTGTTTTGAAAGGCCCCGCGGTCTGCGAAAATTCATCAGACATTTTGCAAGACCCCCTGTATAGTAGATTGAATATTCGAGTGTGTGTAGAAAATACAATCGCATAACCCATTAATCGATTATGGATTAATTGGGTATGGTACAGCTTGCTGTACACTGACACGAGCGCAAGATTTTCTCTGCCATCTTTGCATTGAAATATTTCGTTGCAGCGTGTTCTAAACGTTGACATAAAAGGCTGATAC